GAGAAATTTCTTTATTTTCATAATCATGTGCATGGGGATATAACCCACCAAAAAGAAAATAAGGAAAGAAAGAAAAAAAAAAAAAAAGAAAAAGAAAAGAATGAATCACTGTCAAACCCTGACGCTAAAGCACACTTTTTGAATTATATATCTTATTATATGAGAAATGTTAACCTTATTATTTCTGTTACACTTTTTATCACTTTTTAAAGTCATTATTTTACGCATAGAATCTACTAGATTTTTAATTATATAGGCATGTTGATATTGCATCGCTGTAACTTAAAACTCATATATCTGTATATATATCATTTTTGATTCATCATTTACTCAAGTATTAATTAAATAGATTCTTTTTCACACACGCGAAAAGTGGTATATATGGTATACCAAGACCTCAATCCTTTTTGTGTTGTGGATGAAAAGAAAATGAGATATTTACATTTTTATACTCTGTATTTCAAGTTTATTTAAAAATTATATATTCAGTTTTTAATCTTATGAAATATATACATTTAAATTAGATTTAATACTCAAATTAGGTTTATTTAAAAATTATATATTCAATTTTTAATCTTATGAAATATATACATTTAAATTAGATTTAATACTCAAATTTATACATTTTCACAGTTAACTCTCAATTTTAAGCATAAAATATCTATAGCATCTTAAAATAAAAATGAAAGAAGAAAAAAAAAACTTTAAACTTAAGATTTTAACCTTAAAATGTCAAAAATACCATTGAAATGGTTTTTTTGTGTGTTTTTAATTTTTAATTTTTTGTAGTGTTAGAAAGTTTTTGGTTTACTTTCTCTTTTCTTTAAGGATAGTTTGGTCATTATTGACGGTGAAAATTCGTCAACAGAATAATAACGAGTTTCTTAACGGTTTGCACAAATTAAATAAGCTAAAATGCAATTAAAAGTGAAATTAAAGCAAGAACACACAAAATTTATAGTGGTTCACCATCGATTTGAGAGTTACGTCCACTGTAGGGAGGAGAGAAATTTTACTATATATCTTTAGAGGAATTACATGCACTAATGCTCAAGATGAGACTTAGGGATTTTCTGACGTATAATCCCTTATTTATACTTTAGATCATAGCCCCCGCTTGTTTCCTTACTCAAATTCGGGGATATTTTCATTATTTTTGGAATAATTTCTCAAAAAATAGAGATTACAATTAATTAGGACAATTTCTCAATTTGAATTTCATTTATTTAAATTACAAATAGTAAATCTCAGAGAGAATCCCTCAGATCTTTGTCTTTGTGTAGCCTCGACTCCATAGACTCTTCCTTTAATCTATTTGTATTGTCTGTGAGTGCGGTCGACGTCATGTCCCCTCCTCACAACAGTCGACATCATGTTCCCTCCTCACAACAGTCGACGCCATGTTTCCTTCTCACAACAATCGACCTCTTACTTATATTAGATGCGTCCTTGTAACGGTCGACTATTAATAAAGTTGTATGCTGACGTGGCTTTTAAGGATGAGCTGTCATTGATCATTTAATGCTCTTCTTTATGGCCTACAGGCCCCATTCAAAGTCTAATTTAGGGTTCAACGTTTTACGCTACAACAGTCATTTTAAAGTTTAAAATTAATTATTGATCAAGATAATATATATATTTGTATATTATATTAAATTTGAAGGTGTACATTTGATGAGATTAAAAACTGAAGCTATAAATTTTGAATAAACTTAAAACATAGAGTATAAAAATGTAAATATCCTAAAGAAAATTGATAGCTTACCAAACATAATTCATATGATTATGGCCATTGGCTATGGATATATGCAAAGTTAATCATGTCTTTCTTCCGAACGCGTGCAATGTAGAACATTGATATGGTCTAGGAGGATATCTTCTATCTTACTATATGATATGGTACTTTTAAGATATGGTTGATATGGTTTATAAAAGAGGATTGCAAAACGGTTCCGCGGAGCTATTAAGGATTTTTGTTTCTAAAAAGACATAAAATCTATTTTGGCCATAATTATTTGACAAACACCTAATCTTAATGCGTTAAAGTTTGGCATGATTGAAAGTTTCACTTAACAGTAATTCCATACCCACTTTTAATGTTGCGGTCTAAAGCATTCCGAGGAAAAGAAATGGTGATATAATATTGAAATAGGCAGGGGATGATAAAACTTTTATTACAATAATGCCAAGGCTTAATTAGATTTCCTTTTTTCTATATAATGAGGCATATATAGTTGTGGACCAACTCTGGTTTTTTTTTTTTTTTTTTTTTTTTTTTTTTTTTTTTTTAACAATATAAGCCCCCTTCAACAAAGTTATTTCAGTCTCATTTGCTTTCACTTTCCTTCTTGCCCTTTGTGCTTTAGAAGTGGTAGTGTAGTTGAGTTCACAAAGGCTTATAACTGCCTAGCTAAAGTTGCAAGAATAATTGAATTGGCCTAAAGAATATCTTAACTTTTCATCACGTCAAGTTCTACACACACACACACAGACACACTATATATATATATATATAGATATACATGCATACATACATATATATATATATATATCTACACACACATAAAGCCCTGGCTATAATGTTCCAAATCTAAATCTATAAAAATTACACTGTGACAAGTAACAATAATCGCCAAGTCATATTGTGCTTTTGCAAAGACTGCAAAAATGGCATTACTTTCTTCAGCAATATAATTCACCGCTTTGATGATATATATGTGTGTGTACATGTGGTGTGTATGAAAGGGAATAAGGTCAACAATTCGTTTACTATAAATTAAAAAATTAATTAATTAGATTGTATTGGTTCTTGAATTAAAGATGATCAAAATTAATGCCAAATTGCAACATACTATTAATTTTGGCTTACCATCTCAGCAGTAAATCCGCATTCTTGTCTCTAATGTTAAATTTCACAATTATAATCCCTCATCTCAGTTTAAAAAATAAAATAAACAAACAAATAACCATAATATATTTAAAAAAAAAAAACATTTAATAGATATCATGACCACCTTAAATAAAGGGATTAGACAACCTGCAATAAGTAGTATCAGATTCTGCAATATTCTAAATGTTGAACTCTTTTTAAAAAAATGAAAATGGATACAAAATCTTAGCATTAAGTGACCAGACAAAATTATAATTGACCATAGACCACATCATCATATATTATGGCAGATTGGCTCCTATAGATGTAGTACCATTTGGAAGTAAAGAATATGGCGTGAGAAAGATGTTAATGCCATTCAAAGTCAAAATGATTTGTACTAAAAAGTGGTGCGTTAGCTCACGAGAATTTCTCAATAAAACGGTTGAGCTATCTATCTCCTATTCTCAATCTTTGTTTTAAGAATTCGATTTGTTTTTAAATTGTTTTCAAATTAGATTTGCTTAACAGTTTTATTTCTGAGGATACTTTAAGCGGGTGTGTAATTCTCGGTATGCCTAGAATCAATGAGTATCATTCATTTGGGTATACGTACCACTGTATATATATATATATATATATATATAAACGTATACGCAGTGAGTATCATTACTAGAACTGTCCATTTATAAAGAAGCATACCATGTCACCATTTTGTACGTGCAATAATGCAAACATAATATATAGAGAATAGTTTAAACATTTTCTTGACCCTGCAATTTGAAATGTATACATGACGCAGTAGAATAGAAAGGAATCAGATAAAGCCTAGACTCTTTCAAAGGAATTAGGATAAAAAAGAAATACTTGAAATTGTCTTCGAAATTTAAATTTATGGTAAGAAGAATTAGAAGAAAAAAAATTGAATTGAACTGCAAAGGTAAGCCTAATTAGGAATCCGAATAAAATCCCAATAAAAGACAAGCTCAATTGTTTTGTTTTCTGCATTGTTCAACCAGTCATAATGTTCACACCGAGTGATAGACACTTGGAGGGTAACCTTCTACCTTATTTATATATATATATATATACATATATACATATATATATATATATATATACATACATGTGTGTATGTATATATGCTTCAGAAAAAAAAAAAGAGCAAATGTATCTCCATCATCTCTACACCAAAAGAACTATAATCAGACAGAATTCATGGCCTCACATTCAGTTTTTTCTGGAGGAATACCATAATGGGGAGCAGGTTTCCGTACATTCTCTAAAACAAGTTGTTTAACGAATAAAGAGCATACCTTTCTCTGTCATATTCTTTTCTTATTATATATATGAAAAGGAAGTTCATAATATAATAAAGAAAAATATTGCTGATTCTTCCAAGTTAGGGAAAAGTCATCTATTTTGACTTTTTTTTTTCCTTCACAAAATACATCGTACTGGCTGCTATATGTGTAGTTACTATTTGCTAGTCTCTCAAATTATCAATATATTAAGCCCCATTTGTTTCGCTAGTTCAAATTATAACTCAAGTTTTTACTACAATATTTTCTCTCGTAAAAATTCAAATTTAACTTTTTCTATTATAATGTTTTCTCTCACACGAATTCACTTTTTAACTGAAATTCTCAATTCAAATGAGCGAATTGAGAATTGAGAAAATCAGATTGATCTTAACACCTAAAAGTTCACAATGTATATAGTGGATCCAATGAAGACATATATAGTAGAAGGAACAATAAAGATGATCATGAAAGAAAAGTTGATACATCAAGCTTCATAACCCAAAAGAAGAACTTTTGGATGAAGAAAATCAACACAAGAAGACAAAGTTACAAAAAAATGACACCAAAACAAAAGAAAGACTTTTCCCTCTTCAATTTCCCAATAGCTAGTACTACTAGTAAAAGATCCCTAAAAAAAGGCTAACTTAAACAACCCCACAAGAACGTAGCCAATTATGAGAATAATTAGCATCAAAAGAGCTGGAAAATTCTTTAACTGCACACCTAATGCAAGAGAAGAAGACCATGATCACTACTAGTAAAAGCGTAATGAGTCCACTAACTAGCTACTAGCAAAAAAAAAAAAGAAACTGCTTGCAATTAGTTGTTCAATCCTCTGATGTTGGAACCTCATTGAGATCAAAATCTTTAACAATCTTACTATCATCATTTTCAGCAGAAACTTGATCATCTTCAACATTATCCTTGTCATCTGTTGCTTCCTCGGACCTCGACGAATCATCCGAATTCGACAATCGGCTATTGATAATTATCTTGATGTTCTTCTTGTTGTGGCTTGACCTGTGGCCGCCTAGAGCTTGGTAACTTGGGAAGGACCTCTTGCAAACACTGCATACATATTGACGACCTCTACCACTACTACTTGCAGGTGATTTTGCGCTATTACTAGTACTAGTAGTTCTAATCACTTGGCCTTCTTCTCCTTCTTCTTCTTCTAGGTCTGCCAACTTCATCTTCTTTATTATTTTCTTGCTCTTCATGCTCTTGTTCTTTATCCTCTTCATCATGTAATAATCCTTCTCATCCCCCGAATTCTCTTCTTCTTCTTCTTCTTTCTCTTCTTCTTTCTTTGCTTTTCCTTTGTTCTTATTGATCCGATCAAGAATGGTTAATAATTCTGAGCGAGCTCCAGGCTTCTGACAAGCGAGCATCATAAGATCAAAGACAGCCTCCTTCGCGGTCTTCTCCATCCACGGGACATCTGCCAAACTCAGGCCGCCTGAGGACGAGGAGGAGGAACCGCTAGTAGTAATACGGTTGCCGCTACCTCTCTTCGCGGTGATGGGCCACTTAAGATCATCACTAGCAGGAGAAGGAGTTTTTGGGGAATTAGAAGTCGACAATAGAACTGGCCGCCTTTTTTTCGGGGTTGCTTCCGAAGAATCATCATCATCATCAATCATAGGATGATCTTGATCAGGAACAGTAGAAGAAGAAGGTTGAGGAGGAGGTTGAATTCCTCTCCAACCCCTATCAGGATGAGACCTCATGTGACCGAAAAGCGATTTCATCGACGGAAAACTCTTCTCGCAGAGCGGGCAAATTGGAACATCTTCTTCCTCTTCATCATCTTCCTCATCGTTATCGTGAATAATTGCTTTGCGTTTGTTGCTGGGCTTTGTACTATTGTTGTTGTTTTTGGGTGGGAGATTGTGCATTCTCTTGTGGCCGCCGAGCGCTTTTCCAGACTTGTAACGCTTATTACAAACCGGGCATACAAAAGGCAACAATTCTTCATCTTGAACATGGTCTTCAACTTGTTCATGATCATCTGGCTTAAGCTTATTGATCATCATCTTTTGATCATGGCCGTTGATCATGTCTTGATCAGCAGTGGTGGGCTCTGGTTTCGGAGTGATCTTCAGCTTCAAGCAAAGCCGTCCCTGGTTATTTGCATCTTCTTTCTCTTCCTCCATTATTATGTTCAGAGCTTAATTAGTTACAGAATACATAGAAGAAGAAACGAAACAAAAAGGAGAAGAAGAAACAGACTGATAAGAGATTTTTCTGGGGAAGAATAAATGTCGGTTAAGAATATCACGGTTTCTTAGATTCTATTTTTATTTTTAAAAGAAGAAATTTATTTGTAATTGATTTTTTTTTTTGTCAAAATGTAAAAGAATATTTATCACGAAATTTTGAAATATATATGGGAAGAGGAAGAGGGAAGAAGGAAAGTAGAAATTGGTGAGATTAAAAGGTCAAAGTAAGGGTAAGAATTTCGACAAGTACTAAATAAGGAAATTATATTACTTTCATAATTAAATTAAGATTTCTTTTTTTGTTTTTTGTCTTTTTTGGAAATTTGAATTAAGAATCTATATCCCAAACCAAAGAAAGACTTTTGGTTTCACGGTAAAAAAAACGGAATTGGTAATGCTGATGTATATTAATGAGCTTTTTATAATTTCTTTTATTTTCCTAAATAAATCTTTTATTTTTGAACTTAATGAATAATCTCTTTTTTTTTTTTTTTTTGGTTCTTATGAGTTGATAAGGAAGTTGGGTTAATTGAAAACCGCAAAAGAAATCCTTACAAGTTTCTTGAGATCAATGACCACATGAAAGGAGATTATTATTTAACTTTCATATTTTGTTTCTCTTAAGTATTATATCATCATATTAATCATGATTTTCATTTTTCACAATATTAATAATTGTTGTAGGGTAAGAAATCTTATAAGATATGATATCAATCTGATTTGGGTATAGAAACTTAACTGAAAACCGCAAAAGAAATCCTTGCAAGTATCTTGAAATTAGTGAGAGGTTAAAAGCTCTAATTGAATCCTACATGGGAAGGTCAATTTAAAATCATCCAAGAGGCTCAATCTTATTTACCCTTGTTTTGTTTTAAAGAAGCATAAAGTTTATATATATATATATATATATATATATATATTCTTCATCTTGAACATGGTCTTCAACTTGTTCATGATCATCTGGCTTAAGCTTATTGATCATCATCTTTTGATCATGGCCGTTGATCATGTCTTGATCAGCAGTGGTGGGCTCTGGTTTCGGAGTGATCTTCAGCTTCAAGCAAAGCCGTCCCTGGTTATTTGCATCTTCTTTCTCTTCCTCCATTATTATGTTCAGAGCTTAATTAGTTACAGAATACATAGAAGAAGAAACGAAACAAAAAGGAGAAGAAGAAACAGACTGATAAGAGATTTTTCTGGGGAAGAATAAATGTCGGTTAAGAATATCACGGTTTCTTAGATTCTATTTTTATTTTTAAAAGAAGAAATTTATTTGTAATTGATTTTTTTTTTTGTCAAAATGTAAAAGAATATTTATCACGAAATTTTGAAATATATATGGGAAGAGGAAGAGGGAAGAAGGAAAGTAGAAATTGGTGAGATTAAAAGGTCAAAGTAAGGGTAAGAATTTCGACAAGTACTAAATAAGGAAATTATATTACTTTCATAATTAAATTAAGATTTCTTTTTTTGTTTTTTGTCTTTTTTGGAAATTTGAATTAAGAATCTATATCCCAAACCAAAGAAAGACTTTTGGTTTCACGGTAAAAAAAACGGAATTGGTAATGCTGATGTATATTAATGAGCTTTTTATAATTTCTTTTATTTTCCTAAATAAATCTTTTATTTTTGAACTTAATGAATAATCTCTTTTTTTTTTTTTTTTGGTTCTTATGAGTTGATAAGGAAGTTGGGTTAATTGAAAACCGCAAAAGAAATCCTTACAAGTTTCTTGAGATCAATGACCACATGAAAGGAGATTATTATTTAACTTTCATATTTTGTTTCTCTTAAGTATTATATCATCATATTAATCATGATTTTCATTTTTCACAATATTAATAATTGTTGTAGGGTAAGAAATCTTATAAGATATGATATCAATCTGATTTGGGTATAGAAACTTAACTGAAAACCGCAAAAGAAATCCTTGCAAGTATCTTGAAATTAGTGAGAGGTTAAAAGCTCTAATTGAATCCTACATGGGAAGGTCAATTTAAAATCATCCAAGAGGCTCAATCTTATTTACCCTTGTTTTGTTTTAAAGAAGCATAAAGTTTATATATATATATATATATATATATATATTGTGTGGTTATAATGATTATTATGGATGGAAACGTAATAATTGAAAATCGAGAAAAGGGAAGAAGAAACTAAAGAAATTAGAAACATGAAACTGGTGAGATTAAAAAGGTCAAAATAAGAGTTAGAGAGAGGCACTAAATTAGGAAAATAGATTACTTTGAATTTTGAATTAAGGATCTAAATCCCTTAATTAAGATAGCAAAGAAAGACTTTTCGTTTTACGGTAGGAAAATAGTGAAGTGGTAATGAATATTATTAAGTTTTTTATTTATTTATTTTTTATCTGTTCTTTTTTTTTTTTTTTAACTCGAATATCTTTTGGTTTTTATGAGAGTAGGTTCTTATGAGTTGATACAGAAGTTGGATTAAGATGTTGGAGATAAAAAACGCAATAAGAGGCAAAGAAAGCCTTTAATTTTCCATTATTGCAGAGTAATTATAAAATATATATGTATATATATATATATATATATATTGTTCTTATGAGTATGACTCGTGAATTGAAAATTGACTCCTTTATCTTTTATTCTTATTCCATTAAATTTAAACTCCTACTATTAATTATAGTTGTAAAACAATTTAGCGCGTAACTCTACTATTAATTATACAACCCATGACACGTAATACTTACTCTTTTTTTTTTTTTTTCTGTTTTTGAAAAGAGAAACTGTTGTACTTATGAATTGCAACGACGAGGTTAATTACATACGAGAAAGGAGATAAATAGTTTTTAAAGTGCATGAGTTTAAATTTTTATCCTTAATTAGAATTGTAAGTTTAGGTTGGGCTAAATAGGTCAGCCCAAGGCCCACCATTGTTGGCCCGGGTCCGGCCCTAACCTCTGGGCCTGGCCTGGCCAAGGTTTCAAGTTCAAACATTTATTCAGACTCGACCTGACTGGGCCAGACCGACCTGACTTAAGTGACATATTTTTAATTTTTTTAAAATACCTTATAAAATTCTGGCCGGCCTATTTCTTTTCGGCTTTAAGGTCAGATTGGGTTGACACTTTCCTTTAGGGGCGGGCAGGCCTGTACTGAAATTTGCATTCGAGCTTTTGAGACTAAGCTGAACGGCCTGAGCTTTTACCTCTATCTTAACTCTTGAATAACACTCTAAACAAAAATCTAACAATTTTTTCATTAAATAAACATCTTAACCCTGATAATGGTCTAATTAATAACAATTGTTTGTGAATAAATAATGATTAAGTCAAATGCCAATATTAACAAGTTCAAGATTCAAGTTGTCAATTAACGATAAATTTTTACGTACATTGTGTATACCGTGAGGCATTCCATACATTAACTAAAGTTGTTTTTCTTACGATGAATTCGAAAATATAAAATCTCATTTGTAAAAATCAAAGATTGGGAATCCACATTGTCAATCAAATATATTAATAGAGTAAGAATGAAGATCGTTGAATGGAAAAGTAAGTAGCAATGTCCCCTTTATGGGATGCATATTAAAGAAACTTCACGCGTAGCTTGAGTATTTATTTATTTATTTTTTCCGTAGAGCTTAGAGATCATACGGTATTTATACACAAATGCTACGTTTCTTTCATCTTTTAACGTTTGCATTATGTTTGTGAACCTCATTACTTTTAATTAAAGGATTATGGAGGTCTAATTTGCTATTAATTAAATGATCATCAACATAAATGCACCCATGGGAAGTTTATATTGGGCATATGTCATCTAATTAATTAAGACTATAAGAATTGAATGTTTATTGCTTACAATATCCCACTAGTAATCTTAAAACCGCGTAGAAATACAGGAACGTGAAATGAAAGAAATAAAAGATAAAAAAGCTATAATATGTTCTATCAATATTTCCTTACATGATTATATTTTTTTCCTTTTTAAGGTTTAGTAAACCTTAAACTTGAAGGAATAGTAAATAGTAATGACAATAAGAGATAACAATAAGTTTTGGATTTTGAAATAACGCCCCCTCTTGGGTTATAAATTTGAATAGGAATTCAAAATTGTTTAAATTTTTGTGAAAGAAAATACTTTAACAAAAAAAAAAAAGGAACTATACAAATAAGAAAAAATAGTTGAAAGCTAATTGAACTGATTCGAATTACTCTGGTACATAATTTTTAATTAATACTTCAAAAACCAAAGTTTCGAACTACTCATGAAGATAATATGCATCACATAAAGAATTTAACTAATTAATGTTAGTAAATAACAAAGTAACCTTTTTTCCACTGGCCAATTATCTGTTATCCATTTGCTGAAGCAAAGAGAAAACCTCCTTTATCCATTTCTTGAAGAAAAAGAAAAAGTCTTAAGAGTTACTACCTCTTTAATCACCTTTTTTTTTCTTTTTTTTTTTTAAATCGTTTTTGGTGGAATATTTGTATAACAGCAGGAGTGAGTTATCACTAACTGTGGAATGCAAAAAGATTATCGTGTCTTTTAATCCGCCGCCAACTTAGGAATGGTTTAAGCATAAGCTGAAGCTGGCCTTTAATTATGTCCAAAACAACAGAAGTAAAAATGGAATTACAATCCTATGAAAGGTCATTTGTTTTTAGGATGATTTTATGGTGTTAAACAAAAAAAACAAAAAAAATGCCGGTATTGTTCAATTCTGAATTGTCTGATCATATTTCAACCACATTCATCTGATCATATTTTAACAAAACTTTATCAGAAGTTGCACTCTATTGTAGGATATTTTGCAAACCTTATCATATTAGCTTTCTTTTTTTAATGAGAAAAAGTTATCAAGTGAGTTATTCATATATTTAGGTTAAACCCCTTTATATATATATATATGTGTGTGTGTCAAACTGAAAACATGGGTGGAGTTGATCTGATCTTATGAAATACAGATTCGAAGATTTTGGTGCTAGTTAGGATTTGGTATTTGAGTTTTGAAAAATAAATCTGAGTTTAATATTTAAACTCAGAGGTATATAGGATTAGATATGTTTTTATTTAAATTTTGATTCTCCTATGGAGATAATGTTTATCTCATAGATTTCTTTCTATTGAAGCATTGTAGTACGCTCTGATTAAACGGGTGACGAAAGCAAATAATGTGTTTCAAGTACATGGTACTCAAGATATTGCTATTTCTAACATGGAATTCCGAATTACTTGACTTTGACTTTTTTCTCCCTTTATAATCAAACTTGACTTCTGACTTTTGGGGCAGATAATTCCAATTTTAGCACATAATTCCAATTTTATGGCACTGATTTAGGGGCAGGTGTTATAAACAGAGCAAATTCGTTCAAAGTTTCCAATTCACAGCTTTTGACTTTGATCAGACAACCGAATTCTCAAAACTCATCAGATTACAGGGCCCTACGGTAGTCTCATTTTCGGTAATGCACGTTTTTAACCGTCGGACCTTATGAAAATCACATTAAAATGAAAAATTGTACACAACATACAATTTCTTATACAGACTGTTGAGGAAAATACAATGTACCAAAACGCAATTTTTTCAAGTCCTACCACATGAATCTCATAGTTTATATGTCAATAAGAAACTCATATGGAAGTTGAATAAAAGATTAGAAAAAGGAAGAGGAAAACTCCAAGAGCAAAATTGTGGTCCTAATCCTATGTTAGATTTCATACCAGAGCAGTATGCATTTTTTCAAAGGCAAACGTGCTGAAAGGGAAGCTGTAGTAAAAGACAACCGAAACTAATAAAACAGAAAACACACAAAAGGACTTGAACTTCAAGTTGAATAGAAGCAATATAACAACTGCATAACACTATAAAAACGTACAACAGACAAAGCTAATAATATCCTAAGAAAAAGGGGTTCCTATCCTATGCGACACTAATAATTTGGAGACCACTAAAGCGGCGTCGTCGTCGTCGCGTTATGGGAAGATTTATATTCCAACAGTTCATTCTTGTATCTTTCCTTGTCCCTCACCCCTTTGTCCTGATAAACCTGTAATGCCACCGTATATCAGTGGTGCAGCCAGAAAAGTTTCTCAGTGAGGATACAATATGAGATGTACGAAATAATTTTCAATTGAATGGAAAGTCGAAGCACAGTTTTCTTATTGGATCAGAATACAACTGAACTTTTTTATAAATTTTATGTATAAAAACAAAAATTTTGATATCTTAGTGGGGATAAATTGTATGCGACTCCATCAACGCGGCATTCTCCTTGCAAGGATGTTTACTTTCACAATTTACATGGGCTGAGAATGTATAAATGTATAAATATTTCTAATATTAGAAGTAATAATCAATGTCATAATTTTCGTCCATACGAATTCTCTTCTCAGGCATGTCAAGTAACCTATAAAAGTCACAAATATGCGAATACACTCACGAAAATAATAAGGCATTAAACATACTTGTTTTTCTGCTTCAGTGAGATTATTCCAGAGAAGCCCAATTGTCTTGCTGATGGCCTTCTCTTGCCCGTAATACATAGGTTTTAGCCTCGCATAATGCTCCGCGAAGAAGAAATTGTAGCCACTCCTATTTGACTTGGGCCGAGATGGGTCCCGCAATGCCAACCTAGATTTCTTTCGATTCCTACGACTACGCCGGTCTGGAGGGTAAGAGCTTTGAGACGTATGGAAGGGAACATGATATAAGACGCCTTGCAGCTGATCCGAACCCAAGTTAACCGTGATCAGATATCCATTTTCAAACTTCCCATCAATTGCTCCATTAACAGAAGAGCCGGGCTGCAATTCCAGGGTTGCTGCATAAAGATTATACATATAATTTATCAAACAATCATTACTGTGTCATTGATTGAGATAATAAGTAGGAAGGTCAAGAAACTAACGAAACAAAACCAATACGCTGTAGAATCATCATATCGAAATCGTAAATACTTACACTGACTTGGTAATTGGTTCCTAATCGTGCCTTCGCCAGCGGCCCCTAATTCATTGGCAAGGTTTCTACCAACAGGATCTAAGACACAGAAACAATAGAACCATACATTATTCCATTTATCAAAGATTTTCCAGAAAAGTGTACAAAAGAATGAAGAAACCGTGTCTAATTACCATCCATTGAAATTGAAGCAACTTGTTTGCGGAAATAATACACCTGCTCAAACTGATAGAGCAAAGAGAGGTAGTACTTCCTTAAGACAAATGAAGCACTGGTAATTGTTGATGGGAAATTGAAGACCACAACGACTTGCTTCCATTTTCTATCCTTAAGAACCTGTGACCATATTTAGAGAAGTTAAAGCATGGGTTTGAAGAAGAATTTGTATAAGCAATAATATCAAAACCATTGAAGACAAACATAACGTATATAAAGTAGCATCATATATATATATATATATATATAACACATAAAGAACTTAGGGCATATTAACTAAATAGTAATGGGAAATGAAAGTTTTTTTGGAAAATCCGGAATGGTGACGTTTTTTCACCTATTAAATGGAATCGGAAACAAAGCCCCTTTTCAGTATTTACTAACTTTATGAATAGGAATCGTAATAGCTTAAGTACAAAAAATCCTTATGCATATAACTATTAGTTATTATATTTTTTGCTAAAGAATTATTAGTTAAAATTTAGTAAGGCTGCATAAGGAATTTTGTGATTTATTCCAATTCAAAGGGAAACAAAACTGGGGAATAACTGAGGATTGGCTTTATCTTCACTCCTTACATCATGCATACCCCACCAACAAATTGATTCGGTAGGTAAACATGTGAATAGTGTGGAAAACGGTTACTCATTTCCTCCCATTTCCTTACCTATTCGTTATAAGTAAAACATGTCCTAAATGGAGACTACGTAAAAAGTTTTAATTTTTCACAGCACCAATTTCTGTTCAGCTGATTTTCTTCACAACTCAAGTAGTTCAAACCAAAAGTGAGTTCAATTATGCAACATTGGAAAAATCAGCTAATCCATTGAATGTCAAGGAAGAAAGAACTTGACACTTCTCAGAAACTAGGATAAGTTCAACATTTCAGGCTTTCTATATTGTGGAGTAAATGAACAAAACCAACTGCAATTTAGAAAAAAGATGATGAACATACCTTTTCAAGACCGCCACGAGATGTTACTTCGACAAAAAGCCGGTGTAGATCCAGAGCCTTTCCTCCTACAGTAGGAATCCTACAGAAACAATGAGCAGCCAAAAATGTTAATCCCATCCTCATCCATTTTCTGCTTTCTACACTCCCTAATGCATTATGTTGCATAGATGATTATTTCCTTAAAATCTCGTTTAGGCTGACATCAAATATAAACTTTTAAGCTGGTCATTAAAAAAGAAATTTAAGAAAATCAAGTCCCCAATTGTGGAACAACCGGAAGTAGAGGACAGGGGTCCAATCCCCCCATAAAATGAAAATCTTTTAAGCATTTATTTGTCACATTTTCTTTGTAAGCAAAGTAGCATTCATACATACATATGCAGATGCATATATATACATATTGTCTACTCCTCTTTCCCACATTTTCCATACTGTTCTATTAGCTGGCCTGTATACTGAGCACCAAATTTTATTCAAAAAGCCACGTGTACCAAGTGCGCGGCAAGTGCCTAAACAGCGTTATTGACATACTGCATGTCCCCGTTCCCACCACCTATAATTCCTCATAAACCTAACAAACAACTTAACCAAGCTACAAATTGATTGAGCGCCTAGTGCAGGTTATTACTCCAAGCACCAACAAGCTGATGCACGTGACATGCGCACGGAAGACCATACCAATGAACTGAAGACCACAACACCTGTGAATGTGTGCCATTAACTCCTCTACTTAATGGGCAGGCTATTTCATACCAATGAATCGAATTTCTATTTCCGCTCATGGGATACATAAACAAAACAACAGATTCGTTTTAAGTTGTATAACATATATGAATTCTCTACTTTTGCTCCTTCCTAAACCTCTTTTTAGTCATCATCTTAACTCTTGTTCCATTTAAACGGTTGGATGTTGATATGTGGGACCAGTCCAGACTATATCCAAGGCTATTCCTTCAAACGGTTAGATATATCCTATATATACACACAAAAGGAAAAAAGCAACAATTTTTAATGAAATCTTAAAAGACTTGATTACTGTTGATTGAGGCCTATTCACACAATGCCCACCCTAAGATAATTCAAACAAAAATCCTATCTTGCTTTAATAATGGGAATAACAAACAATTGAAAGCAAACATTGAATTTCGAGAAAAAGGCAGAGTAGAAGAATTAAACCAGAAATGTAACAAAAAATAATTAAAAAAAGCACGGAAATTTGACAGACTCTGGAAATAGAAACAAGCAGAACATAAACAAATTGATAAAAGCACGTGAAAAAACAAGAACCCAGCAAATAAACTCACAAAGCAAGCAAGAAACGAATAAAAGCTTAATTATAAACATACCAACAAAAAAAAAATCCCAACTTGCTTTACACTGGGAAAAAGCTAAAGAAGGTATCTTAATGAAAGCACCAAAATTTCTTCGGATCAATAAGAAATTTGAATGAAACAACAAGAACCCAGAAATCAAAATTGGGAATTTTACGTGAATTTGGTCCGAAAGGAATTGTGGAAAGCCCTGAGCTTTTCCCAGAAAAGGTCGGAGCTTTGAACGACATCCTCGTACTTGGCGGCTGCAGACGAAGACCCATTTTCCGAAATGGAGGAAGAAGAAGAAGCAGAAGGAGATAATGGAACCTGGGAGGAGGGCAGGTTCCGGTGGCGGACCAACATTTGATTTTGAGTTTTAGAGAAAGAAAGAAGAGAGAGGGGGGAGAGAGTGGGGCTAAGAAGAATAGAAATACGATAGTTACAAACCCAGCACAACATAACCCAAGATTTCATTTTCTTAATTTAATAATATTCCCTAAAAAAGATTAATATTTTTGTTTTATTTTTAGATTTTATATATATTCTTCAAAATCCTGGAGTACTTTGGTTTAAAAAAAAAAACCCTATAAAAATTAACCGTGATGATCATTTTTCAAAAACGAAAATAAAAGAAAAAATATATATAGAGCTTGTTTGGATTGACTTAAAAAAAATGCTCAACATCAAAGTGTTTTTATTTTATAAATTCTTTTAAGATAAGTCACCTCTTAAGTGCTTTAAATCTGATCGTGTCGACCAATCTCTAGAAAATCATAAGATATGAAATGATCACTCCTCTATAAACTTAAGGTTTGTTCTTTTACACTTAAACTTAAATATTTAAAATTGTTTCCATCTATCCTCCCCTCAAATCTTGTGCTTTTGTCATCGATGAATAGGCTCTTGAATCTCTATCTAAGTCGGATGGGTAGGCTTTGAATCTCTAACTAAATCCGGTGTGTGAGTTTTCTTTGTAATCTTTCAATTACGTTATCAATAAAGTTTCATTTTGTGTTCAATTACTAAGTTGCTAGTTAGAATCTTAGAAGAATTACTAGTTAAAAGCACGCACGACATTAAATAACGGTTACACAAATAGTTGAAAAAAAAGAGAAAGAAAAAAGAAAAGATAAAAGAAATAAAGATAAAAATGAGAAAAAGATCTGAAATAAAAAAGGAAAAAAAAGACAACAAAATTTATGAAAAAAAATTATGCCATATGTTTTGAAGTTAAAGTTGAAATTTATGAATATTGCAGACATAATATGTTTTATGTAAGGATACATTTGAGAATAAATTAATTTAATAAGATAATTAAAAAAAATTAGTATTTTAAGTAATTATAAAAAAAGTATTGAAAGGAGAAATATTTGAAAATATATAAAAATTAAAGGTTAAAAGATTAAAGATACAACAAAAACAAAGATAAGGGAGGAAAAAGAAGAAAGAAAAAGAAAAGTTTAAAAACTGAAAAAGGGGGGAAAAAAAAAAACAATTAAGTGGCAATGAAACTGGGGCAAAGAAACGCCTCGTGAAACCTATTCTCTCTTTTAAGGAGAGATATTCTCAGTTATTTGAGAATTTGTACAAAGGATGAAGTGACTGCTCTTCTTGTTTTGATGTGATCGATTGGAATGCCACATTAGAAGAGAAAAAGAGGTTGTTGGAGAGAGCGTTTACAAATGAAGAAAGTGCGACAGATCACAGTTTTGAGTTTTAAGACATAAATTCCTTGGCTGAGAGGGCTTCACTTTGGGACCTTTTCAGAATTATTGGGAGTAAGTGAAAGGAGGTTTGATGAAGGTGTTTGGGTGTTTTTTCAGGAATGGTATGTTTAATTTAGACACTAACCAACACCTTTTGTGCCACATTCAGAAAGAAGGAAAAGAAAAAAAAATAAAAAAAACAAACAAACAAAAAACACAGTTGAAGGACTAAAAGTTTTTTGACCCCACCAGTTTGGTAACTAGCATCTACGAGTTTTTAGGGAAAGTTTTGGAAATTACATTTGTCGAGGTATAAAGTAAAGAAAAAGAAGGGTATGGTGTTTAGGATTGATGTTGAGAAGGCTTATGACCATGTAAGAATACAACAACAGCAAGCCAACAACAACAACAAACCTTAAACCTTTTTTAATTAGGATCGGTTATATAGATTTCATTTTTTCGCACAATTCTGTTCGAAATTTGACTTTCTTGAAAACCTAGATTTAGAATGTCATTTCTAAGTACTTTAGTCTACGTAATTCTTAATCTACCACTCTCTCTCCTAATATTAGGTATAAAAATGTCATCACAAGCACGAATTGGTGCTTCTAGCGGTCTATGTTAGACATAATCGTACCACCTCAAGCGGCCTTCGCGCACCTTATCTTCTATTAGTGCTACACTTACTTTACTACAAGTAACTTCATTCTTTATGTGACCCATTCTTGTATGATCACTCATATATCTTAACATACGTATTTTTGTCACACTCATCTTACATATATGTTGTCTCTTAATGACCTAACATTCACTACCATATAACATAGCATGGCAGATTGCAGTCCTCTAGAATATGGAAAAAAAAAAGAATCACTACTAGAAAATGGAGATAAGATGATGATTAAAAAAACGTCGTTAAAAGATATGACGAATTTTTTACGACTCGCCATTGTATCTACAGTCGTTAAATATTTAAGACATACGACGACGACGGTTAAAACTGCCATTTAATACACACCTAAACACTACACGATTTCAGAAAAGGCAAATTAATTTTTGATGGGATGTTTTCAAGATGAGTGGGAGCAAGTATTATTTTTTAGGAATGGTGTGATTAATTTTGATACTGATCACGCTTTTTGTGCCTCATTCAAAAGAAAACAGAAAAGAGAGAACCAATTTCAAAGAGGATGAAGGATTTTAAACTCATTAGTTTGGTCTCTAGAATCTACAAGTTTTTAATGAATGTTTTGGCAATTACGTACATTTGCCTGGGTAAAGAGTAGAAGGAGGAACATTTGGTCTTTAAAATTTGATTGTGAGGTAAAATATTGTAATAAAAAGATTAATTTACGAGTGAAATCTACGAAAAGAATGGGGTCAAGAGTATCGTGGCAAGATTAGAGAACGAGAATGACGCTTTCTTAGAAAATCAAGAGGATTGTGAAAAGGAAACTAGTGAGTTTTAACTTTTAAGTAACAATCATGCGAGAACAACATCACATGGTGAAACTATTAACCAAAAAAAAAAAAAAAATATATAT